CAGAAGGCTTAACTTTTAAATCCGAAAATAATGATAGGACAATTAATAGTTATTCCATCAATTTTTTAAATTATACTTTTAAGTGGGTTATCACCTTTAATACTAACAACGATAAGATTGGGGAAAATAACATTGACTGTCGAATCATTCTAAATGAAATTACCAATGAATTTGTGAGTTAAATAACCAAGGTGAAATTCATGAGTACTTGAGCGTCATCAAGCAATTGATTTTTTTGTTGTGAAAGTATAATGATTCTTGCTCCCAGAATCTGGACTACTATCCTCTTTTTCATTCATTTGGGATATTAGCGTGGGATCCACGCAAATACGTCAGGCCGTCCACTTAAATGTGCTCACCACGTCCACCTAGTTACATGACTCCAATGTGAGCTTTCTTTCTAATTCTCCACAGGAACATAACTTAGCAACCTATTGTCCTTAAGCCAACCCCAATCCCTACTAACATGACTCCGACTCTTGATATGCGAGTTATCAGAAATTGAGTTTCATCGTTAGAATAAAGACTTGTCTTTACTTAATAAGAATCTCCAAATATAATATTCCATTACCTTTATGAATTACTATTTCGAGTTTTCAGTTTCTATGCAATAATAATATTATTAATAATATTTTTACATTTAAATTGAAGCAATATTAACATCTTTAAGCAAGAGTTAATTAACTTAAATTTCTGTCTGGGTTTTATGTTGTGGGACACGTCATCGCATGCGCGTACACATAGGTTTGAGGTGCGGCCGTACGACTTCGCGTACGGATTGAGGATGAGAGCAGCTCAAGGGCCCTCACTTGTTTTATCTAATCCGCCATATTGTATGACTGAGTTTCCTTCCTGTATACACTTCTTGCGTGGTTTATCTACTGAATAAACGTGTTCTCGCAATACGTCTAGTTCTTCTGCGAACCGCTGGTAGAGGTTTCTGAGTTCAGTCAAGGTTTACGAAAGTAGTTATTCCGCTACAATGTCAATAAAGGTGTTCATTTATTTAATTGACGACTTAAATAAGCTAATCTCCGTTGGTCTCCCATTACTTTCAGTGAAAACAGTATTTTTAATTAAATTAAAATTCCAAAATTGAATTTATTTTATGGAATTTCTAAACATAATTTTTAGTATTAAAATCTACTATAATTCTAACGAAATCTGAGGATTTCACTACCTAGAGCATAAAATCACCACCTTTTAATCCATGGAAAGCAAACGGAGTTTTTTTGGGGGGGAGGTGGGAAAGATTGAAGAAGAAGTTGGAGAAGCAGATACCCCACGGACATTTTAAATAATTACTTCAATTTAGTTGTTGTCATTAGGGCAGAGAATGTTTTGTTGAGAAATAGACTGGCTGAGAGAGGTAGAGTACAATCGCTTGGTCTTTGACCATATGTCGACTGCCTCGTGGACACAGAGGTGCATAATGTAATTATTATTAATGTAATCTGAAGCTGTGCATTATTAAAGACAGGAGGAGGGTGGGTGAGAGTGCTCTCATTGATACTACTCCATGATTAATCATATTTGTATGTGTTTTAGTAGGAAATGCGCTCAAAAGCTTCTTAGAATTTCGCTATTTGCCTCTGAGAATGCGGTTGTTAGAGGAATCGTCACTTGAAAAATACACGCTCTTTAGTTCATTACTGAGACAGCCAGAAGGTCGTCGTTTACGATAAACTACCCATTTTCTTCACAATATGGCAATTTATTTACCTTTTTATGAAATGATTAGTACTTTTTGTTGTAAAAATCCTTGCATTCAGTTATGATCGCTTACCTTTCAGCATGTCACCTTAATATGCTAAATTAGGAGTGTTAAAATAGTAATGTTAAATGTTCAAAGGATTTTTTGTAATGGAATGTACTTATTAAACTGAAATAAATTGTTTTTTATTCGTTTTCATCTATATTTAAGTAATATTTTAATCGGAAAAAGTTTTTTTTTCATGAAGACTGACCCAGGAAGAGCCTTCAGCCTATCTCATTGAAAGTTCGCTGCAGGGCTATCAATAATAGCAGATGTTTCCCACATTCAAAAATTTCGTAATTTAAACGTTTTACATCATTCTTCAAAAAGGCACCAGAATTCAAGTCAGAAACTCGCATAGTCCTACTTCTTTCTAATTAGGATCAATAATTTGGAACTGTCATCCGCGTCAAAACTTGCATGCATCGACGCGTCCCCTTTCTGATTAATACACACTGAGCACAGAGGAGTTGAAATTGAATCCAAAGATTGTGTGTGTGTGTGTGTATATATCTGCATCTCCCTAAGCAGCTTAAATACCACCAAATAGGACATAGAATCAAACGAGATCAGCTTAAATTGAAATATTTTACTGAGTCAAACCGTAAAGCAGAAAACTCAGATGAAAAAGTTTTGCAACACAGTACATTTCCTCAGAAGTTAGAAAGTTGATTTGTTAGCGAATCTCACTCCAAGTCTTTGTCACACCCAACTGAGTTCCACTAAAATGGTATCTTATTTCTTTTGCTATTACAGCTAGTTTTTTTCGTTGGAAGAAGAACGAAACATTTCAATAGCCCATGGAAGACAATAACGTGACTTCGCATACTGAAATTGGAAAAATAAAATATCAGGCAGTGACCTATAGTTAAGACTTTAAAGTTTTAAGTTCCAATTTGATGGTCAAATTATACAATGGCCAACTTATTTACCCCTAACTGCATGTCGTCATTCCTAGAGTTCCAATAAGACTGCTTTGTAGATTTTTGTATTCAGAATGAAAATTCTGCCAAATCTTAGATAGTTGTGTGTTGCAAATGCTCAATATATACTCATTTCACACCCAACTCATGTGTCTACCTCGAATGGTGCACGTTGAACCCAAAATACTGAAAAAACCTGACCAGCAGATGGAGGGGCGAGCCTACTGAGAAAGGTGAGTCCATTCACTTCAATTACCTTTTGAATTTTGAGTTAAACTATGCCAAGAATACCAAAAGACCCAGGGAACGGAAACAAAATATACTGATGTGAAGTAATTTATTGGTAATAGTCATATCACCCTTGCACAAAGTAGAGATAAAGTGAGCGTAGCAAGGCTACTCGGATCGTTCTAAATATATAAATAACGCGAAAATGTGCAGGAAATATACACGTTGAGAAGGGGTTCGAAACCAGCTTAGGCTGACAATGAAGCGAGAACTTGAATTAAAGATAAAAAGAAAAAAGATTCACCAAAATAATATATTTTATTTTTTCCAAATAGATATAAGACTAATTTTACCAAACGTCAGACTACGAGAAAAAGCATATGAAAATTAACATTCCCTTTTCTAAACTGATATGCTGATAATAATTTGGACACAACTTTGTCATTAGAAGTTCATGAAAGCGTAGAGTCAAATAAAAGCTTTGCTTTCTGAACCGAAATCTTCAAATATACTCCAATTTTTATAGGTGAAATTGAAGGCTGTAGATCATTCTTTCAGAGATAAATGACAGAGTTCTTTTCACTACATTGACAAAAGAAAAGCATCTTCTTTGTAAGCGCTTAAATCTTCATCGGAAATCATAAAATAAAGAGATTTTTTAGCATTCCGATGGAAATGCAACCAGCCTGGTATAGGCGAACAGTAAGTGTTGCAAAACATTTCACTGATGGGAAGGCTTAATAGATTGAATAGTTATTTACAATTCAATTATTCGCTTTAAATGTATTTTATAATCAAGAGCTCACTCAAGAGGAGAACACAAACTAAGGCAATAGGTCGCATTGGGGAGGGGGCGATTATTCCCATCAACTTGTTCCGCAAACAGACCCCGAAGTTCACAACGATCAATCAAAGGTCATATACATAGAAAGCCATGTTTTCCCATGTTAAAATAAGCATAATGAAATTATCAGCAAAGGGAAAAGAAAATTATCATCTTTATTATTGCTATTATTATTATTATTATTATTAAAGTTTTAAGAATGGCGAGGATCAAGTAAGTAGATATAAAGAAATTTTATCTCTCCGGACCGAACGATTTATTAGTAATTATGAAAATTCGGTCAGAAATAAAAAATGAAATTATTTTGAATAGGTGGACTAAGAAATAATTTGATGCCTCAAGATTTCTTTAAATAAATTTTGAGGAGGAATATTAGGATTACCTTCAGTATACTGATAAAAATGCCTCCAGAGAGATTTGGGTTGGCAAAATCCACCAATATCCCAAGATCGAATGTATAACTCCTTATAATCCACAGTGTCCACTTGAAAAAATCGGGCCGGTTCGAAGGATATGATGCTTCCAAGTCGTGAGAGGATGGTCTTTTTGCCTCCGTTGTCCAGTCCAAGCATGAGAACGCGTATCACAGGGGGCTCAAAGAAGTAGGCGTAGAGAAAGCAGCAACACTGACCCATGATCTAGTTCTGGAATATGCAAACCATCTTTTAAGTGTATAGATATATTTACGTTAACACAATCCTTTCGATCTCTAACTTCTCCATACATCACATATTATATTTATGTTTATGGGGTGTGCGATAGACTTACCTCCACGTGGTGCACCCTGGGCAACGTATACTCATACGGCCAAAGAAGTTTATAAACCGGCAGTTGACAAAAAACTACCATGATCCTCTCCTCACCTTGTCTTTTCTCTACCTTTGTGTCTCTCTGCCTCTTTTATATCTGTGAATCTTTCCTCTGTTCCTCCTCCCGAGATTTTTTTAACTTCGATGGCCCCCCCCCTCTGTGAACCCTGAAGTCAACTAAAGGGAGAGTGATAACTATCCCAAAGCCTGCCATTTGCTATAAATAATACGCTAATGCTTATTATAAATATACGAATATCAAAAGTTAGCTACGCTTCACAATGAATCGTGGTCACTTTCATCTCAGATTTTTTTGAACTATAACTCAAAGTAATAAAAATGTCCTAGACAAATTCCTTCCAGTCTGTTGGAGCAATTTCAAGAGTTCCAAATAAAACACGACCTTATATGGCGTTGCACTTAAATAGACTCACTCCGTTGCTCTACCAGATAATGTTAATGTCGAAATTCGATGGCCTTGAGATAGGAGTTTAGCCAACTTGAGATTGAAATCGATTGAATTGCTATCGTTCACTTTGAAGCTAATGCAAAAAGGCCCTCATAAGACAACACAACATGCACAAGATAGCCGTTTTTTATAATAAGGTGGATTAAGGCTAGATATTTTCCTCTATAGTTACTTTGTCAAATGTTACTTATAATTATTTCTATAAAATAAGTAGTAATATATTGATACGGTTGTTTCTACATGAAGTCAAGCCACCCAAAGGTAAATTAATGCCACACTTTTATTTAATAGTAGTAAATAAAGTGTATTATCAATTACTACAATCTGAGCATTCAGTAGTACCCAGTAAGTGTTGAAAGTGCTTCCCATGAACTTCGACGCATTACCAATCACGAATCAGCACGTCTCCTTTATGTTGGTGACACTGTTGAGACGTGTGAGAAAACTTGCAGAGAGAGTTTGCGTTGAATTCTTGAAGAACTCGGGGAAGCACAATCGAGAAAGGTCTTTTAAGAGCAGTCTAAACTCAGCTTCTACCAAAGATTCACAACTTAACAACACCTTTAGCCAATAAATGACAAAATTTAGGTTGCAAGATTTTCAATGATCTTTTCAAAATTCCTAGGAGTCAGCTATGAATCATGCAATAAAGGAATTCAGCTTTTAGGGGTTTACTTACTTATAGCTCATAAAGTGATTTCGCCATCATGCATAGTGTAGAGTAAGTGGATAAATTAGATTGGCAAAGAACTATAGGTTTTGGCAATAAACTCCCGAACCCCTTAATTCAGGGTTCAAGTGTTCCGTGAACTGTTGGCCATTATAAACTTTAAAATATAAAAGTATGACTAGTTTTAGGCATTTAATATTTGTTCATTGACACTTTAAATAAATGTGGGGCATGCATTTTTTCATGAATTAATTTCAAGTTATTAAATGTAAAGCGTCAAATTAAATTAATTATTAAATGCTTGAGAACGAATCCGAATAAGCCGTTAACAATTTTTCGTGAAACAGTTAAATTTGGCATTAACTCGACATAATAAAATTTCAGAATTTAAAGATTCGATCGTGTTGAGTTTTAAAGTTAACTCTGTTTCTTCTCTATTCAGCAATACACAAAAGAAAGTTCAATTTTGTTTATTTTTTCAATTTGAATGAAAAAAGATTTATAATTATTTCAAATAAAAGTCAAAATTAATTTAATGGTGAAATAAATTATAGCAGTTTATTCTGCATAAAGAATTATCGTCTAAATTTGTATTTACTTTTTGGCCACACATGAGGTGTTAACTTATAATCAAAAAATTCAAGTTATCATTGATATTTATACCAAAGAACCGTAATAAGTAATGTTTAGCATAGCAAATAATCTTGATAGTGAAGGTATGTTATGGCTCTCCCAGCTCAGAAAGGTATACGAAGATCGGTAAAACTGATTTTCTAAAAAAACTATTTTGACTAAAATCGTTTCTAGTTTAAAGGGGTAATATTTATTCAATAAAAATTCCAATGTTATAGCATCATTATTAGTGCATCTTTCATGTATTCTGATATAACCTACAGGGGAAATCTGTTAGCTTAAAGAAATGGTATGCAAACTCATATGTTTATGGCTTTCAGAAAGAAAACTCGCAATAAAATATCGATAAGAAAATTCAAATATGCATTACTTGGTTTCTCGAATCTCTAAAATCGATATAATTTATTTTGTCCTATTTGTTTAGTTAATGTGAAATGCTTTGATTAGATGAAATCACCACTTTTTCTATTGCATCATCAATAATTGCTTCTTTATGGAAAGCCTTACACCATCGACTAATGTCTGTTCTGTGCTTCCAGAATGGTTCGATTCGAATGCTTAGCAAACGGAAAGTGGAAAGTTTTAGGAAAACAAATGTTTTCATAAAATTCCAGTTGGTATCTACTTAAAATATTTTCTTATGTTTTCTCCTTATTATTCTGCACTTTTGTCTGGAAAATGATTTAATTAATTATGCAATTTTTTTGCTGGTCTGTTTCCTAAAACTTGAATGTTGGACATTTATTCCGTAATTATGAAAATGAAAGTATTCCAAAAAAGCCTTAAACACCGAGGCATTAGGAAGAAGCGTGTAGTGATTAGCATTTTATAAAAAAAGATTTATTCCTATATGAAGCAAACGATTGTCTGTCTGATAGGCAAATAATTGTTTCAGTGGTGGGTTAGCCTATCCAAATACAAATGGAGAATTCTAACAGCCGATATACCAGTGCACGATACATAAAGCTTTTGAATTAAACTAAAAAATATTCATGTTGGATTCCAAGCCATGGTAGTTCGATTTAACATGAGGCTAATTCCTTTCTGTAATGACCAACCAACAATTCCATTCAATAAGCTTGATGAAATTCGTCGACTTGATAGCATTTACCAAAATGAGATGGAGAAATTCAGAACATTAGCCTTTGTAATATCAAAATACAATAATTAACAAAGAAAAATCGTCTGTTGATTTAAATTTAACCATCTGGCCTTTTGTCTCAAAACGGGTTGTTTCCCCTATTTCCGTTAAATGGATGTCTTAAAATGGCTTTGGATTCCACCTATTTTCTCATTGTCATGGAAGTAAGAAATAGCATTATCTGTCTAACTAATCGATAAATGAATTACTTCGTCTGTCTCCCTTTTTCCATTTCTTAATTATGCAAAGGAGTTGGAGTAATCTCTCCCATTTAGTCTTCCCCCCTAACTGGAGGGCAAACGCACGGAATTTATTACCGCTCTTAAGATCGCGTCATTTCACAGAGGTGTGTTTTGCAACTCTGAGTTAAGTAAAACTCCCCAATCTCGACCTTGAGATAGCAATTTAACTTAGTTTAATTTAGATGTAGTTTCATTTCACATATCCCATCAAATGTTATTGAAGAATAACATTAAAGAAGGAAAAAGAAAAAAGGATATAATAAATCAGTCGAAAATCAAGATTCTGTATATTTTTGCCAATAAATATTCCCGTAAAAGCACCATTCTTGTTTAAAGCATTTGGCTGAATTAAATAGATGAGAATAAAACATATTGATTACTCCATTATAACTAGGTGTTATACAATTTGCACAAACTGGAGCATAGCTCCATCAAACAGAAAACAATGTGAATACTTCTTTTCTTCCCAACCCTCAAACTCAGAACAAATTTTGAATACACTTGGTTAGGGAATTTAATTTCAACATTAAGCTTGAAAGGAAATGCAATTCATTCAATTTATACAACCTTGAAAAAGGCATTGGAAGTCCACACGCTGACCCGTGTAAGAGCATTACTCTCATTCCCTTGTAATATTTGACAGCTTCAAGTCTCCAAATTTGGTCAGAATTGCAAATAGTGGTAGGAATAATTGTTTTGTTGTAAATAACAATGTCGACGTTCATTTATACTTACATTTGTCCTGACTTTTTGCATGCATAAATTTCAAATCGCCTTGAAATCTATCGATAATTTTATTCAATTGTTCAAACCTTCTGCCTAATACGCACCACTCGCTGCAAGTTCTGGGGAGGCTGTTGATTTAGACATCCACTTTAAAAACTATCTTTGGCAATAGTTTTTGGAATGACTCTTACTGCTACTGATAGACTTCCTCCTGTTCTGTTTGGAAAGTAGAGATGAGTGCTAAACGCAACCCATTTTAAATTCAAAGATTGCATAAATGTCATTGATTTAACAAAACTTTGTCTGATACACTAATTTCTTTAAGTATGAGCAATTACTAATCATAGGGGAAATCTCATCAAATACCCATTTGACTTCTTGAGCGCAAATGACATGATGGAACCCCGTTTACAGCCCATCATATCGTTCCGATGTTAATGCTTTAAATTGCGAAGTATCGCATAAGATTATTTGCCCTCTCGGCTGTTAGGACAAATTAAAACACTGAGGTGAAAAGTCTCTCTCCCTCTGACTAAGCAATATAAATCAATATGCATCTTGTGCGTTCACGAAATTAGAATTATGGAATGGGGATTGCTCTCTTAGAAAATAAAATGAAATTTGAATAACAAAGTCAAATAAAATAGGACGATTTGGATTACGGGTATGTGATGTTAGACACTTTCCACACTGAAAAGATTATCTTCATTGCATTTTGCAGTAATAGGATTTTCAATTTGCCATTCCCCGAACCAATTGATGCTGGACGGAAACCCACTTCTGGTTTCCCAATTCCATTTTTCCTAATGACGTGTCATTAGTTGACCCATCTATTTTGTGATAACTTTTTGAGTCCGGTGACCTCAACAGTTTTTGCATTTGTTTTCATTAGATTTAGATTAATTCACAACTAACTCTTGACCATACGAACTTCTCATCGCTTTT